TCTCTCTCTCTCTCTCTCTCTCTTGATTGAAATGGATTCGGATTGTGACTGTAATTTACTTGTGTGTTAAAATGTGATGCGTTTGCGAGTTTATTATTTGTTTCTAGCGAATCAAAATGTGTCAACGGTTTCCAAGGCTTAAACCGAGATAGTAATCAGATTTAATCCAGGATTTTCGAAGACAGCCCCGTCCCGAAGAACGAGGTGAATTTGTTCTCGTCCCAAAGCGAAACTGACTTGATCAGTATAATTTTTAAATCAACCAGCATTAAGAAGGACTGAATCGAAGGTTTGTATGGGTTAAAAAAAGAATTCTGCGAAAAATTACCTTAGCAGCGTTGATCAATTCATCGGCCAAACATTCAGCAATTGATTTGATGTTACGGAATGCAGCTTCACGTGCACCGGTGCAGAGCAACCAGATAGCCTGAAAACAAGGGCACAACACATGAGGATCTATTTGTTTTTTTCTACTGCGCCACTTACGGCACAAAACGCCATAAACAAAACATGTGAATTTTTTTAAACTGTTCTAACAATGTTTATTAGCATTCAGTGGCTAAAAATCTAAATGCCAACAACAAGTATGTCAGATATTTTAATTTGGTCGCGCAAATGTGACATAACCAAATCGAATCGTATCGATTGTCGTGGTAAAACAATTGCGACCGCTCGGTATGACATAACCTCAAATGTAAACAATGTGTTTTTTGTGTGTTCAGGATGACTTACTTGGTTGACACGACGCAATGGTGACACATCAACAGCTTGACGACGAACGGTACCAGCACGACCAATACGTGTTGAATCTTCACGTGGTCCTGAGTTGATGATAGCGGCCACGAGGATCTATAAAAGATAAATTAACGGTCAGTAAAAGTGATAGAAATTTTCTTTCTCAACAGATGAATCAAGCTTCCATTCATTCGATTAAATCGAAATCGTTGATTCACAAGCTGAAATATTTGGCATTGAAAAAAAATTTGTCGTTTGATTAGGCTAGTCAGTTGAAAAACGATTATCAGTCGGATGTGCTGACAACATTTTCAACCGATGAATAAATCAAACGATCGTTTAATCTAGTCCAGTTTTCTACGCCAAGCAATTAGAATAAAGTGACCTAATACTGCTTGGTTCTAGCAAGGACATGCACTTGACCATCATCGATATACACGTCATTCATGAATGATGGATGATTTGGTGGTGGTGGTGGTGGTAGTTGGGCTGTTGTGAACTTACGGAAAGTGGGTTCTTGTCGGTCAACAAGTAGATGATTTCAAAGGCATGCTTCACAATACGAACTGCCATCAATTTTTTGCCATTGTTGCGACCTTTCATCATCAATGAGTTGGTCAATCGTTCAACGATTGGGCATTGTGCTTTGCGGAAACGCTTGGCAGCATAACGACCAGCTGAATGTGGCAAATAACGTGCGTACTTCTCTTTGACAGCGATGTAATCCTGATATTGACACGACAAAGAAAATAATGTAACGATTGAATTCACATTCAAATTGAGATTGGTTACGCATTTCGAAATATTTGATGCCAAAAGGTGAGAAAAGAAAACAATACTTACGGCCAATGACATGTCCGATACATTGACATCATCGCAGCTCCATCTTCCGAACAATTTAATTTCTGGAAGTTCAGCGGTGGTGCTGTAGACCAAAGCGTCAGCTTCAACTTCTTCTTGGTCGAATTGTTCGGTTTGTTCCTCAGCAGCTGGCTGCTCGAAGTTTTCGAATTGTTGATCTTCTACTTCAGCCATTGTGCTATTGAAATGATGAACACGAAAGCATTTAATCACATGTGCACTCATGAGAAATTCTAATAATTATTCATTCTATTGCTTATTGTGTGCTTATCAAATTGCTCAAAAAGAGAAGAAAAAAAAAGCTGTTGATTTATTCTATGGAGGCATTGTACAGTGTTGTAACAACAATCCACCAGAGGAAATAATAAACCAGACTGTTGCTGTAGTCCCCTTGAATACCATAAAGTCAATGCGAACGCAATTAAGTGTCTAAAACAATATGGTTTTAGTAAAGGACATAAAAAAAATAACTTTTTTTGCAAATTTTTTTACATGTTTTTCGTAAAATTTCACTAAATTCTATTCCACGTGCGATATATGAACAACTACACAGTAGACAGTCGAAATGAGTTCACATAACCTCTAACACACACTAGCAATGCATGAAACACGCGAATCGTATGTCTTTGCTGCTCATTTTATCTCACAGCCTAAACGCATTTCGATTGAATAAAATTCCCAGAAAATGCAATTTATTTGACACAGAATCCATGAAAATCCATTGAGTTTCGATGCAAATGCATTTAATTCACGCATTTTGAGCAATTTGATAAATATTCACAATAATTTTGGCGAAAAAACACTTACAAATTTAGTAAATATATAATTCACAGGTCCGCACTATAAGACTGTACGCCGGAAAAGAAAGATGATTTACAAGATGGCCGAAGATGTCGAACCAGCTGTCAGCCACTTTACACACTTTTCCATCCACGAATATGGCAGCACCGCAACGTGTGCTCAGTACGACTGTCAAATCGAGCAATGATATGGGCGACAACGATGGGGGCGCCACTTGTTTAATTGCGCTACAATTTGAATGGTTCAGACTTTCAATTGGATTTTTATTAGAATCATTCTATGATTTATTTTGAAGCAAAGATTTAAAGCCATTAGCTTGAGAAGTTTTTTTTTTGTTCGTGCCAACTACATATGATAACATATGTTTCCCCTCTTTTTTTCTATTTATTTAAATAACTTTTAATTCATATTCCAATGGAAATGTATGACTTATTATTTTGTATTTTTGTCGTTTGACTTGCCTATTTAAGCTATGGAAAAAAAACACAACATTCATTTAGTCAAAGTTTCAGCATATTTATTGTCAATTGTTCTTATTTTATAAGAAATCGAATGTGGTATAGAAAGAAGAATATACGAATGAAATTTCGTATTAAGCAGTACGGCCATGTGAAATGTTCAGCAACATGTTTGTCGAACGGGTGCGAAACACTTGATGCGGCTTGAATTCGAAAGACTTCGATTGTATTTTGAATGGAGCGTCCATCAAAATTTCCAGAGCGTAGATTTCATTGTCGGTGACATCGTTACCAGGAATGTGACGACTAATTGGCTCAATCCCGATGACAGTTCCGCGGACTCCGATCGGGAACTAAATGAGATGTGAATACATGTTTTCCACAATAAATTAGTAGGTAATAGTAGATTAAATGTTTGTCGTCTAAAGAATTTGAAAAATAGGCTAAATAGCTGAATAAATATTATTTATATGTTGGTTTCATTCACATCGTCTGTTTTTTGTGAAAGCGCATCATCAGTGCCCGCTTTTATGGCAATAATAAGACAATTTGACCGCTTATCGAGACATTGATTTGGCCGAGTGAAATTGTTGTCGACAATTGCATTTTCGATACTTTTATTGCATCTGATTTGCACAAGGAGTTGCTTTTTCAACTCTCAAACTCGAGAATATCAGCCTTTTCAGGTTTGGATGGTTGTTGATTATGAATGAATTGCATCAAACGAGATGATTCATTTCCATGGTTGCCAGCATTCTTTTTGTGAAACTTTAAGGAGACCTTGATGAATGTTTGTGGTGTACTCATTTGGTCATGGTGAGGGTGATGTGCTGTTTGATGACCGTGATGATGATGGTGTCGATGGCATTGCGTATTGGCTTTCCCTGCATGGTGATGAGGCTGGCGAGTAGATGGTTTGGCCAACATGAATGGACAATGGTTGCACTTTGTCGAGATCGTTGATGCGATGTCCCAAATGTGACATGATACGACATTTGGTGTACTGGCCAAAACACGGGACACTTCATTGGCAGCTTGTATGAAACCGGCACGGAAACGGTCGGCTTCGATGACTGGGCTGAACGTTGTTGACGCTTCAATTTATGCAAATGACGAACGGTCAACCCGGTGATATCGACCATTTTCAATTCCGTGATTTTTTCACGTTCGAATTGCAAAGCGGTCACCAATAATTCTTTCAATACGTTGATACGAGCACAACGTTTGCGTCGTCAGAATTTCTGAAAAAAGAACAATTTCGTAATTAATTAACATTCTTACCGGATAGCCGCTGCGAACGATGACAACACGATCCAGGAGCTTGTACACGGCATTCGGTGATGGAATCGCAAATACATCATTCAAATCAGGGATGTAGAGATTTTGCCATTTCATTTTTAGCTTGAGCACCTTTGCGTCTTCATTGTACTTTAAAATGATGCAACATAGTTTATTTGTAGAAAAAAATTCATGAAAATTGCATAAAAATTGGAAAAAAATATCAAAGACAAATGAATACCGCATCATCAACGGCCTTTTGAACATCTCTGACGGCATTTTCAGACAAACGTGACAGATCGACCGGTTTCAGTCCGACCTTGTAATATGGCAACGATTGAAGCCATTGACGAATTTCACCAATATACTCCAGCCCATTCGGATTATTGTTTTCATCGAAATCGGTTATAAGAAGTGCCGGTGCTTCGGAAGTGCTCAGCACTTCAAAGACACGAGGGAATTTATCCATGTACTGCTGAACTACATCGATGGCTTGTTGTGAGTAAATGAATTTGCTGCCGATATTTTTCACGTAATTATGCGCAACCAAAACGCTCGTCTGGAACTATGGGCGAAAAGGTAAAAAAATATGATCAGGCTTTGCTTCGGCATAAAACGGCTCGCTTTGCGGTGAATAAAATTTAAAGAAAATCATTGACATTTTCCAGAATTTGACACTGAATTTTAATTTTGACCAAAAATTCTGAATCAATTCTCTCTATCAAGTCTATAGCTTCTTACCGGGTTACGACTCTTCATCTGCAATCCAATGTTGATTTTACGCCCTGGTACTAGAGTCTTTTCGGGACATACAAGAACAGAACCAGTAATTCGGGCGAACATTTTTTCACTGATGCCAAGCAACGTGGCCGCACTCGACAGTTGTTTGAATTCATTGATTTCTTCAGTTTTTGCTGATACATGGAGATTTTTGGCCTTTTCGAAGTTAGGCTCTTGATCCTTGTACGATAAGACTGATAACGAAAGAGACGTTGAATAGAAAAGATTTGGAAGAGTTCGAAAAAAGGAAACAAAAACAATTCTCATTTTAAAAAAATATGACATTGTGGTTAAAAACTCACTGTTAACGCGTCCATGTGTTTCAAGACCTTGAGCATCAGCGATAGTTGCTTTTTCACCGTAGTAATGCGATCGACCGCCGAAGAGAAAAACGTCGGGAACACGAAGCACATCTTGGGCATACTTCACTTTTGGCATTTTATTAGACGACAATCGTTTGACCATTGTTTGAACGGCCACCGGTTTCCAATTTTCATCGTCCCAATACTCGACCAACTGCAGTTCGTTTGACTTATCGTCAGTGGATTTGTATTCCATCCATTTTAGCGGTGCAACGAATGCAACGCATTTGATTTGTCCAATATCGATGCCAGATTCAGCATATCTTTAACAATAATTGGCCATAATCGCAATTGAAAAAAGGCAATTCAAATGAAATATTCTGATAATACTCACGTAGTGTTCAATGTTTCAACGAAAGTGTTGAAATCGTGTGGATCCATCGTCGTTTTGACATCACCAGTTGATCCATCGAAATGTTTGGTCGCATCAAAGATTTGCACGACTTTTGCCACCATTTGATGCGGCCACCCAGCATAAACCACTTGATTTAAGTATGATTTGGCCACGACATTAATATCATTCAATGGATCAGCTTTTAAAGTAATCATAATTCGTGGATTTGGCTTTGTCGGACCACCTGGAATCAATTTGCTCTGAAAGTGACCAAAAATTAAATAGAAAAAAAAATTAAATTGAAAGAAAAGTTCAAATTAGATTTGTTTTTTCGCAATGCGTTGAAATGTCAACACTTGAATTGTCAGATGAAATAAGCTAAATAACCAAAAGACTGTGAATTTTCCGTTCCTTACCGACCAATCATACACATTCAATGCTGAAAACTCAAATTTGAAATCAGTTCGCTTCAACGGTCGATCAAGATATTTGTCGTTATTGATCCGGTCGGTTTTCTTCGCCGCAATTTCGGTTATTTTCACTTGGTTCGAGCCCTTTTCGGCTTTGGCATATTGAAATTTGAGCATTGGTTTCGTTTTGTTTCGACTTTCATCCGATGGATTCAAACGTTTTTCAGCGATATAAGCCTTTTGCAACAGGTCATCCTATCGAAAAATGGCATTTTGTAAAAGCGACTCATTAAAAAATTAGGCAGAGAGAAAAATTGAATAATTCAAAAACTCACCATGTCCAAATGGTCAACAATCATCGATTGATAGCTCGTGGGCATCAAATATGCGCTTCCTTTTGGCAAAATGGCCAAGAGGTGGGTGAATGGTTTCATCGGTTTGTCGACTTCTAGTGACATGGCTGTATTATGCACGGACGCAAAGTCACTGACAAACGGAGCACATTTGTATGGATAATGATAGCTCCACGAGAATGTGCCGCGGAAATAGTAAAGCAGCATCCACTGTACGGTGGTTACGTAACTGATCGACATTTGTGCGAGATTAGGAAAATTGGAAACACCAAGGTGTTCCGCGTAATGCTCGTCTTTCATTTCCAAAAAATCGCTGAAACTAGCCTTTTGTTCGCCACCATTTGCTCCACCATTCGCCGCCTCGCCATTCAAATGGACCGCAGCCATTTGCTCACTGATGCTGTTGCTGTACAAATCGAAATCTTTTGGCTTGAGAATTTGTAACAAACGAGCAAAACGGCGAACGTTCATCAAGCCATACTCGTTTATGTAACCTGAAGGGGAAATCAGAATTTGGAAATACAATTCATACCACCGGCCATACTCATCAAATTCGTTCTTTTCTCATACGACTATGATTTTAAAATTTGGAACAATTAATCTCAAATTGGAATAAATCTGTCTTTGGTCGAAATTTAATCGTAAAACCCGAGTAAAAATCATTATTTCGAGTGAAAAAATGTAAATAAATCACAAAATTACAAACCATTTGACGTCTTCAACACTTCCTTGTACGCATCGTAAATGATCGACAAAATGCCAACGTCCAATTCGAATTTCGGCAAAGCGGGAATGTAATCATTGCCTGAGAATATTTGAAAAATTACTCTTTAAATTCAGAAACACTGATAAGTGAATCAATTGGTACCAATGAGCGCCATCAAAACGACCCAGTCATCAACAATGCTGTCCATGTTAAATTCAAATGACATTTCACTTTGGCACTCGATGAACTCCATTCTCAAGTACTGGCGCAACAGCTCAAAGTGAACCACCGAAAACTTATGCTTTACGTCATCCGAGCACAGCGAACCCAATGATGACAGACGATTCTTTTGCTGATATGTTTTGAAATTTTGGAAAATAATCATAGTTTATGAATTTAGCGATTAGTGTTTTAGATCAAATTAGAAAAATGTTTGTTTGGATGGAACAAATTTCAATTTCAAGTCATTTTTGAAAGAAATGATGAGATGGAGATGGAAGAAGTTCAGACAAAAATGGCTTACCTCTTGAATGAACGAAATGTACAGTTCGTGTGTTGCGATTCCAAGCAACAGATAATCGTTATCGCCACTGTAAATGCAGTGGGTTTCATTTGGTTTATAGTCTTGTGACTGTTTCAATGATCGAATAAAATCGGTAATTTTGAGCGAACCTTCACCGGGAACCTAACAAATCGACAACAAAAGACAATAGAGTGATGCATGATTTTGAAAACGAAAAAAAAAATTCGAAGAAAAAACGAAATAATTTTTAAAAAAAGTTTCCAAAATGTCTTACATTCGATCCGCTGACATAGATCTCGCAATTTTGCCAATTGGTGTGGAATCCAATTTTGTTGGCAATGAATTCCATCAACGCCGTTTCGAAATTACGCATGAAAACGGTACCGGGTGAAATGCTGTTTGTGTCAAATTGTGCCGGTGACAAACCATTCCTTTCGAACGATAGCAATCTGCTCAATGTTATTGACGGGCATTGTTTTTTTTCATGATTTAGTTCATTTGCAAAGGAAAAAACGAGACAAAAATGATAAACATGTTATTAGTAATTGGAAATAAAATTATAAGAAAAAGGTACGAATAGGTCATTTGGATCTAAATGATAATAATTATCATCAGAGTGAAGTGGAAAGCAAGGGATAGAAAGGCTCCAAACAGAGATAAGAATGGAAAAGAACCCAAAATTCAAATTAGAAATTGCAACGATTAGAATAGAACTCCTCCACTAAAACGATGGTCATTCCAAATTGCAAATACCTTCTTTCTCGTTGTGTGTTCCATTTAGCACGTGGTGCAACACCATCGATTGACAAGAACAACACCTTCGAAGGCACGATGCGATGGAGTGTTTCAATTTGGCGTAAAACTCGTTCAAAAATCCGTGATTCCGAGAAAAAATTGTTGTCCACCTTTTCCAATGGCAGCGCATTTTTCTCGTTGACCGCTTTGTGCAGAAGGAAATTCAGATCGATGTAAAAATAATCGTAGTGTGGCAACTGACAAGTGACATATTGGAAACAAGAATATTATAAACCAATTCAGTTTTCGTAACAAACAAAAAAGTAAAACGAACAAAAATAAAAACAATCAAAACGAACCATATTTGGAGTCACCGTTTGGCTTAGGCTTGGATACCGATCGCTAAGATATTTGAACAGTTTAGGAACTCCCATTTCGAAGCACCGGTAATAAAATCAAAGATGATGAAAAAAAAAACTCAAGTTGATTGAGATAATTGGTGATTCTAACAGAAAAGAATGAAATGTGCGTCTGAAAATACAGTGTGTTTGGTTTGAAGAGTGTCTACCGAATGTGCGACAACGATTGAGTTTGAGTTTGCATAACGGTTTGCCGGTGCGCGGTGCACATGTATTCTGGATAGCATGCCAAATCTCCGTTTGAACACAGCATATCTTGTGTTGTTGTTTGTATTTATTCCAGTTTTGTTTATAGATTCGTATCGAATCACACTCTGGTTGAGGCAGTGCACAAAGCATTGATTTGTATATATATATACAAATGTGTATATATTGAGCATTCATTGTGACGCAGTATTGTTCTCGTCTGAGCGAGAGAGAAAAAAAAACGAAATGTTCGAAAGCAATTACAGCCCTTTGAATCGAAAATGAATGTTGGCATTTCCAATTCGGTAATTCGATTATGCGTTGGCATTTTCTCAATAAATTTCACCGCAAAAAATCGATTCCCATTAGCTAACGTCGCATTGGACATACGATATACTCAAAATGCGCGCCAATGCGAAGAAATTTTGGTGTGGAAATGTCAAAAGTGAACATGTGTGCGAACGAGTATCCAAACGGAATCGGTAGGGCTGTCTAAAATGAATGTATGTGGATGCGAAGTGTGTATTGAACACGCATACATTTGAACATCGCGCGCCATTCACACACATAGCGCGCGGGAAAGAGATAGGGAGAGAGTGTGTGTGTGTGAAAGAGAGTGCGAAACACAGAGCAGCGCATGAGGCTGTGTATATGAAACGAAACGAATCAACCGAAAAAAAAAGAAGAAAAACGATGTGATTATGCTACGTTGAATGTGCTAAATTGTCAGTGGATTACAGCGGCTGGTGCTGTTTTGTTGCTAGTTGTTTTTGTAATCATCGTCGTCGTCGTCGCCGTCGTCAGTGTTTTTATAATCATCAACGAACACACGACGTCAATTTTTATGGACTGCAAACAAAAATAATATAAACACACAAAAGTGAAGAGAGCGTGAAAAAAAACACGAGCGATACAAAGTGAATGGTGGAAGAAGAAAAAAATTTTGCAAACCGAGGGTGAAGCGAGAAAAAAAAACACCGATTCTGAAAAGCAATAAAACGTCAACATTAAACAAAATTCAATTGGAATTTTATGCTGGCACACGGACACAAGAGTGCTGAGAGTGGCGAGTTTTCGTTTCAAAAGTGAAAAAACATTTTTGTTTTGTTCGTCCGCAATTTAATTGAACCGATTCATTGTGTCGACACAAAGTAAATACGTATTTGGTTTATTTGCCAGTGCTGTTGATTAAATTCGCGACTTTTTTTTTCTCCTCATCTCATTTCGCCTTATTCAAGCGGCAACTCTGATTCTCTCTCGTTCAATTTGTTTATTACGTGTGTGTTTTTGTGTGTGTTTTTATCGTATCATATTTTTTTTGTTATTATTATTTTCTCGGTTCTATATATGCATCCGTTTATTATTGCGAGTGTTTTCGTCGAATTCGTTCGTTGGATTCATATTGTTTTTCTATTTATTTATTTTCCTTCGTGTGTTTCAATTCCGCCCAGGGAAAAATATTAGTGTATAATAATAAAGAAAAGTGCCATCGAATCAAGAACAATACAACCCGGGTCATTGAAAATAAAAAAAACATTGCAAACAGAAGAGAGAGAGAGAGAGAGAGAGAGAGAGAGAGAGGATAAAAAACAATAATCAGTTGGTTTGGGATTTGGGACATATGACAACGTGAACATTTGAAACGTGATTCCGTTGAGATAGAGAGAAACCGATACTGAGAGAAAGAGAGCAAACAAGCAGCCAACAACAACAACAACAGCAGCCGTAGTAGCAATACACAAAAAAAAGTATGGCCAATTAAGATTCCGTGTTTCGGGGACACAATACAAGGAGCTCTGCTAAAAACACGAACACAGAGTTGTATGGAGAGAAACAAGATTCCTTATTTGTGATTCTTCGCTTCATTTTTTTTCTCTTCTGTTTGTTTTCGGTGGCATTCATCGCGGAACGTTTCAATGTGTGTGAATCATTTCATACGTACAACAATATATAAGGCTGACTTCATTTCCCCCACCGAATCGGTTGCCAATTCTTATACATCAACATAATAGTGTGTATCATCCAAAAAAAAAAACAGAAGAGAAAAAAATCAACAACGGCAGCGACAACCCAAAAAAAAAACAACAACGCGAGTTTTTTCATCTTCATTGACTTCTTTTCATAAAAATCGGGAGCAAGACCCAACAGCCGAACCTAGCCCGAATAAAAAAGACTCATTGCAATTGCACATCGATGTATTTGTTACTGTGACTCGATCAATTGTTCGATATTTTTTCTTTTCGATTTGGTGCAAAGAAATGAAATAAATCATATTTTTCTTCGTTTAAAAAGTGGAAAACGGTTCGTTTAAAACGAATATCTAATTCGCAACTCTTCGCACTAGCACATCAATTGGATTTCTTTCGAGCGCGATTCGGTATTTTTTTTTTCTTCTTCGATTCAGTTAATTGCACTTTTAGTTACATGGTTAATGTGTACTATTAACAATCGTTGACCTGAACACACACACTCTCTCTCTATATCGCAACATAAAAATTCGCGCGCGGCTACCGACTATTTACACCGTCAGCTATGTGCACATCTTGACGTGTACGAATACAGCGTGTGTGCTTTTTTGTTTTGCCTTTTATTATTTTGATTTGATTTCTTCTACTTTTTTCGTGTTACTATCCATCATTCGGTCAAGTAAATTCAGTGTTTTGTGATTTGTTGTGTTTTAAAACGAAAAAAAAAACAGAAACAAAGTCTTATTTAATTTTTAAATCAGTTTGAAAGCGCCATAGTGTTGTTGTTTATGTTAATTTTCGCGTGCTATCGTGTGTTCGTCACTATCACTGTTCTTCAAGCGGCTCAGCATTTATTACAATTATCGTCGTCATCATTATCAATCGGTTTTTATGGAAGAGAAGAAAAAGAAAACAGCAAGTAACAATATAAAACGAAGGCCGTTGAAAAACTTGAATTCAATTCGTTCGAATGTTTTTTTTTTCGTTGATCGAAAAGCATTTAGTTTTCGTTTACACTGCGCTTGAATCATATCGCACGCCAGCCGCGACTCGTTTGCATTTCTCTGCATGAAAATATACTTGTACATGTTTGATTACCGTTTGCACCCTCGAAAATAGAGAGAAGAAAGAAAGACAGAGATAGAAAAAGAGAGAGAGAGAGCGAGGGATAGAGAGCAAAACGACAGAAAAAAAACAAAAATTATTTTAAAATAAATCGTCGTTGCCAATGACTTTTTCGCGTGTGCTGTGACACAGTTTTCTTCTTGATATTTTCTGTGTTTTATTCCGACTCGTTGCTTGTTTGTTATTTAAGAAAAAAAAAGAAAGGAACGAACAACAAAAACTCAGAAAACACCCGAATGTGCTTGCCTAACTCAACCATTCGACTCCAACCACACTGTGATTTAACCATTGCCTGCCCGACACCAACATTGACTTAGACGTGTGCCGTTTTTCGTAGTTGTTGTGATTTAACATTATTGTTTTTCTATACGCCGATCCATCCAACGACAACAACATTTCCAACATTTTTCGTAAATTGTTTCACAGAAAATCGCGTCATAAAACCAAAGAGGTGCCGGCGACCATGGACGCGAATTTACCAAAAAGTGTTTCACGTCAGCAGCTTAACGGCCAAATGATGTTAAAATACACGAACGTTGTTAAAGGTAAATCGAAATTGTATGTGTACCAACCAATTATATATCGATATTTTGATTCGACACCATCCCGCAATATTGAGCACGAGAAACAAGTTACCGTAGAGCAAAAATAAGTTGTAACATCCATATTCACCTTTGACTCTCATTGATTGCATTATTACTCAATTTATCTAATTTTTCTTTCTAATTACAAAATCACTCCAATCACCTAGTGTAGCTATTTTTATCGTATAATTATCGAACAAATGCTCGAACACAATTCATTTTTCTCTTTCCCTCTCTCTCTCTCTCTCTTTCTCTCTCGCTCACTAAATAGTTCTGAATAATGAATTCTCTATTGTCTTGTCATCCTTTTTTATAATGATGAATCGAATAATTATTCAATGAACACCCCTAGGAACACCCATTCCATTTTTTTTCCATTTTCAAGGCAGTTACAAATTATTGTTGTATAATTCGAGCTCAGTGATGCAGATAAATGATATGCGCTAGATTTTTTTCACTCCCTTCGCTTTGTCGTTTCAACACATTTTACAAATGCATAATTCATTTACGGGATGACAGATTATAATTGGATTTGGTGTTGGTGGTGGTTTCTTCTTTATTTTCTGATTTTTTTTTCATTTTCCCCGTGTGTTTTGTTACTATGGTGCTCTTTCTATCGGCAGGTTGGCAATATCGATGGTTTACGGTAGACGCTCAAACGGGTATTTTACGGTATTTTCTACCGACGAACAACTGGTCATCGTCATCGACCAACAACATTGCCACCGCTGACACCCACAGCATATCCAGTGGCAATCGAAGCTTCGATTTTGATGCATTGAGCACGAGCAGCGGATTTAATGCCGATAGCCCAACATGGAATCACATTGGCACCACACCAAGGTGGCAGGTAACTTTCAATCGAATTGAACGATACGAATTTTGGGAAAGTTGCCAAAGGTTGAACCGATTTTTCATTGGACAGAAAAAAAATGGAACATCAAAATTAAAATTGAAATTCTGGAGAGAAAAAAAAAATCAAAGCCAAAGAAAATGTTATGGAACAACAATTTTAAACGAGGACAAATTTGAATAGAAAAATTGTCATTAAATCCAAAAAATCAAAATGATTTTAAATCGAAATTTAAAATAAACGGTTTTTATCAATAAAATTGGATAAAAAATATAGGAAAATGAAATTTCTTTCTGTAGGAAGAAGAAACAATTTGCGGTATTTTTTTTTCAAAAATCCAGAAAAAATTCCATAGAAAATCCCGAGAAAAATAATAATCTCGAAATTAAAGCAACGCATGAATTTTAATTAAATTTCATCCATTTGTAGGAGCATTTAGCAGGTGCGGTGATCACTTCGGGTGAAGAAGATTCGCGAACGTTTACCATCACTTGTGCATCAGGTGATACGTTAAAAATTCGTGCAGCAAATGCGGCCAGCCGTCAACAATGGGTGGATGTGTTACGAGGCATCGCTGAAGCGCACAGTTCACAAGTGTCAGCCATAAAGCACAATTTCCATCGAAAGCGATTCTCAAAAAAGCATTTTCCATCCATCGGTTCACACACCGACATTTTGCCATCACGTGAAAATGCTGATGCATACACAAATGCACGCCAACAAATTCACCAAACAGAACTATGGTATGGGTGTATATTTTATTGCTATATAATGAACGAGTATTACAATCTGTGCTTGTTTTTTTCTCTGTCTTGTCTAGTAATGCTGCCTTAGCCAAAGCAATTGAAAATGTAGTGGGCCCATTGAGTCCAACCGATCCGGATGTCCTGATGTTGAAAGCGATTTCATCGGCCAGTACAAGTTGTCTATTGCAATGTTTAGCTTTAATTCAACGTCACCATGAAATAAGCGGCGACGTTCGTGTACGATCACATTCAGAAGCTGCTTTTTAAAATTTAAACAACAACAATTACCTAGATAACCAGAAATCAATGCTATGCCGCGCTCGCGCTCGTTCGATGCAAGCAACAATTTAAATCGATTCATTTTCAACCGAACAGAAAAACACAAAATAATTAAATGAGAAAATATATATAATGTCGCTATTTTTTATACAAAAACCTCAGCAAACACAATGCGCGCATACATACGACAAGCGAATAGATTTTCAAAGAAAAAAAATTCCGGCGAAATTCGAGCGAAATAAATGCGTTGAAACAAAAAAACAACCAATTTGCCCAACATCTACTGCTAAGTCTTGTTAGGTTATACGTTCATATATCAATTTTTTCAAAAAAAAAAAAAGAAACAACAATATACAAACGATGTAATCGAATTATTTAAAACAAATAGAAACAAAAGAAGAAAAACGCATGATTCGCCCGATATTATTGCTCTGAAGGAAAAAAACCTTGAAAAAATCACACTTTTTGTCGATAACAAGAAATGCCGACGCAGATGCTACTTCAACTATCAATCTGATGTTAATCAAATCAATTTTTACATCAATATTTTTGTTTCGTGCATTTCGTTCTTGATCATAGAATAATTTTTTTTCAAATAGAAAAAAGAATGAGGAGAAGAGGAAGAAGAATACAATTTTGATTGAAACACACACAATAATTATGAAATGAAAGAAAAATCAATATTTAATGACAATGAAATCGCGCTTCCTGCATCTCAAAACAATCATAAATCACCAAAATGAGACATGTGTTAATGGACAAATCACACCAATATTTGTCACCGATACCGTTCGATGCACACGTTGTTACAACATCGCAGTTCATTCGTTCGGTTTTTGTTTTCTGTTCTTGTTTTTTTTTGTTTTCGTTCAAAACAATTCTCTTGTTTTTTTTTGATTCGGCGATTATTCGATGAGTTTCTTTTCAATAGTCAATTACAGTTTAGGTGAATATGCAATAAATAGATGAAATACCATTTTCAACGAATTAACTAACAATATTAATAAATCTATATAATATATTTTCACTGTTCCAGTGAAACAGAGACAACCGCAGAAGAAACAGAGAACATGCAAAACAGAGTCAAATTGTTTAGACGTGTACATTTTTTAGTTGTATCTTTTTCTTTTTTTTTAATATTTGTTTTTTTCAATGAATTTGATAGAATATTTTATTCAGAAGAAGAAGAGAAAGAAGAAGAAGAATGAATTTTATTTAATACATTCAATCTGGGTTCGCCACCTTTTTTTATATCTCTTAGGACAGGATTATCAAACTCGATGTATATTTTCTATTGTAAATTGGTCTTTAAACGAGAATAATAGTTAATCTCAAAATGAAGAAAAAAAATTCTAACATTTATTTTCCTCTTAGATATTTAATCCTCCCACACACTTTGGGCAGGCGGCGATGGTATCGGTTCCATGCCGTTTACCCAGTTTTATGTCTCGGTGTCAGTAAATTTCGGATTCGATTTCCTTTTTCTTGCCCTTGATTTTTTTTTTGTATCATTTTAATTGTACTTTTTATTAATATTTTTTGTTATTGTTGTGCCGAATGTAATATGTAAAATAAAGAGGAAAAAAACAAATTATTATGATGGAAAAATGAAAAAAAGAATAATGTGATGCGTGTTTTTATGCAGTTTCAAGTTTTCTCCAGGGGAAAATCGAAAAGTTGCTATGACTTGTTTTTTTTTGCTTTTCACAGAAATTGCAGCGCTTTAATGAAAGCAACGGTTAATACGTATGCATCAAATGTTCACTGTACCCTCCAGCGGGACGGATTTACTGTACTCTTCTTCTACTGTACGCAACATCAATTCGTGTGACACCAAAACCGAACAAAAACAAACGCAAAGTGAAACCGTTTAGTTTTGAAAATTGAGTTCAACACAAGAAAGTCAACAAACAGTTGATGTTTCGTCGATTTCATTATGCTCATGATTAAGGTGAAGAGGTTCTGATGGCGATAACAACGCCATCTTTTGTTTAGATGCTATCGCCTCTATTTAATCATTGTATTGACACATTCTCCAGTCTTTTATTCTCTCTACAATTATGTCCATGCTAATTAAACGAGGGGGATTGAAGATTGACAGTTGAGCTGCACAAAGATAGAAATGTCATGTCATATGGAGACGCCATTTTTATATTTGCTTGAAGCGAGTGGAGCGGTCATACATTTCTCATTCACTTTTTTTCTAAAATAATATTATTATAACAAATTAAATATTTTTCAAGTGTATCTTATTTTCATTATCTTTGTTTGGCACAATTATAAAAACATAGTTTCATTAGACATAACATGCAGGTTCTTGGAGCGGCCATCGAAATTGATTACAATAGTAGCCAACATTGATTACATCAATAATCAATATTACAGTGTAATAATTTCAACACCCAATTACATTTTTATTCTACGTTTTTGCAAACATGAAGTTTAAAAAGGCTAAATAACACTTTCGTATTAATAAAAATCAAAGAGGTAAATCAAACATTGATTCCACAGCAATAATTAATAGCGGCCGATCCAGTTGGAGTGACCGATCCAGTTGGAGCGGCAACTCTACAATTCACCATGCGGCTAATATTGTTTTTCAAAAGAAAAACTATAATAAACGAATTTAAATTGTCTGAAATTAATTTAATCAATGAAAGTAAGAATATTACTTTTTTATAAATTTTCAATAGTTGAATTTTTTTCTTTTGATATATAATACTAGCCACTCCATGGTGAATTTGTAGAGTTGCCGCTCCAACTGGATCGGCCACAGGTAATTGTTACTGAGGAAACAATATTTGATTTATCTCTTTGATGTTTTTAATACGAAAGTATTATTTGGCTTTTTTCACTTCATCTTTGAAAGAACATCAAATAAAAATTGGGTGTTGAAATTATTACACTGTATTATTGGTTATTGATGCAATCAATGTTGGCTACTATTGTAATCAATTTCGATGGCCGCTCCAAGAACGCAAATGTTATGTCTCATGAAACTATCTTTTTATTATATTCCTATTGTGCCAAACAAAGGTGATGAAAATAATAGTTACACTTGAATCAAAATATTTATTATGTTATAATCATATTTATTTAGAAAAAGTGAATAAAAAAGGATTCAGAAATATATGACCGATCCAGTTTTTGTGTGGCCGCTCCACCAGCATGATTGTTAGTTGTGCAGCTGACCAACTGACAAGCAAACTGCAGCGCTAGTGTCTATGTGTCAAAATTTTCAATCCCCCTTAATTAAACGATTTTCAAACAGAATATCAAGTCTTTGATTAATTTCTCTTTGATATTATTTTACTACAAAAACATCATCACAAAAATCACTTCAGCATACACTTCAAATATCACTGAAAGTCGCATGAATGACGGTTGGAAAAAACTTAGGGCGTCTCCATTTGACCGTATGTCATATCTGTCAAGTTCAATGTTTGTGGCCCAGCTGTCACTGCTGACCTGCCCTGAATTCATGACATGTTGTTCTAAAACGCCTCGAAAACACCGTATAATTTGTAAACTACAGAATACAAACACAATCTCTTTCACTTATTTATCTATTTATTGCTTAAACTATCTAAAATTTGGTGTGTTTCCCGAGTCAAATATTTCCCACGGAATTCAATATCAGTTAAATATAGTCCATGAGCAGGGGCCACACATATTTTCTTGGTAAATGAATTTTTTGATGGAATCGTGAGCATTTCATATAAATCGCGGTGGGTGATGTTGCCTTTCGCGGCAGCCACCAATGTGCCTACCAATCTCCTGATTTGTCGATAGAGAAATGATTGTGCGTTGAAAATTATGTTTCAATACTCGACAGTGTCGCTATGTTCAAATGGTTGGATGGTCAATGCGTGACTTTTTTCAATTTTCACATAATTTATCGTTCGCAATGCAAATGATGGTTTTTTCTAATAAGAAAAAACAAAAAAACGTTAGATTATTCAATAGAAATTTTGAAAAAATGATTCAGTAGTTACTTTAACTTTTGTTGGTTTGCATTTCAATCTGAGAGATTACTTACATGTACATCATTATTGACACTCATAAAGGTACGAAAATCATGCCTGCCTGTAAGCATCATTGCTGCCTCCTTAAGGCGTTGCACATCGAAATTATCGCTATAATTTTTATGGTTCACGACAATCATTCGTGTTCTTAGTTGAGTCTAATATGTTATGAAATACTCACTCATACATGAAATAGCATCGATATTTCTCCTCGAGTCGGCTATCAATGTTCGTATTCGGTTTTATTATACCTAACCGATATAGGTAAGTTCGAGATTTTACTGCGTTGATGTGCTCGTTGAATGTTTTGGGCACCATTCCAGCTCGATTCACGCATATTTCATGTTTTGTCTCCTCAAATGAGTCGTTCAACAAACGTGTGATGTAGTCAACAATCATACGGTTTTCCATTCATCCGCTCTAAATCCACCAAAACGGCTGAATTTATCGCATGAACACCAGTATCCGTTCTGAAAATATCAAAATGTAATGATATTTATTTTGATTTGTCAATTTCGTCATACAATTTTGTACAAAATCAAGTTCTCCAAAGCGTTTGCACCAAAGACTCTGGATGATGTCAAACAAGTCCGTCAATTCAATGGGATAAAATCATAAATTTATAAATTTTAACAAACCTGCTTATCGTCCTCACATTGATTGGATTTCTTGGTTTTAACACTTGCATTGACTCTTCAATGACCCCAATCGTTGTCGGAACCATTGGCTCGCCGTGTACCTTTGATTTTGTGAACGCCCTGCAAAAGCACAAAACATCATAATCATTTCGAAAAAAATTGCTGGAATTTTTAGATTATTTTACTCACTTAAAGTGCGTACCAATATACGAAACGTGGATTAAATACCGGTTTATGGTCGAAAATGGAATTATTTCTCCGTTTGTGCGCCTGGAAACCTGATTCAAACCAAATTTCTCATCACAGAGTCATATTTTGTTAATATTGAATTTGGCATGTAACCGACGATGTGTGCGTGTGTGTTGTTGTTTCAAAGAACGTAAACAGCTGATTGATTTTGACAGTTCTCACTATTTAGACTCAACTATTGTTTCGGTCCATTTGTTTCAATTGCTTCAAGAATCCATCATTTGGTCGAATACACTCTCGTTTGGATTTCACCAGAGCAAATGCTGTCTCGAAATTCATTTTATGATCGGACATTAAATAGGCAATGCAAACGGCGGATGACCGACTAACGCCGGCATTACAATGAACAAGAATTCGCCCTTTTTTATCGTGTACACACTTTATGATTTGACTTGTTCGATTTGCTGTTGTTGCTAAATTGGTTTCTGGCAAATCTAAGCACTCCACAAAATGTGTCTGAACAATTGGATCATTTTCATCGTCAATGTTTGAGGCAGACGTTTCGATTCCAACGCTTAGGATGTCGGTCAATTGATATTTGTCAACATTCTCTCGCATCACTGCATCTTGCGGACCCAAATACAAAAAATCCTCCAATATACACGCTGGCACGAAATCTGGTTTCGTGTCGACGATAAATCCATAGGTTTTTGTCGTCATTTTCTGGGTCTCTCCGGGTTTGGACAACAATATTCGCTCTTGTGATCCGTCCGCATGCGTTATATTGGTCACCGACGATTTCAACAACAGTTTTCTCGCTTTTAGCTGTTCAAGAAAACTCATTGTATTTATGCAATTGATTTGTTTTGATTCGGTTTGAAACTAAAAATTAATTTATATCTAGTTCAGCTTTCATCACGTTGATGCAACTAAATAATATTGTTTTTGACATTTGATTTCTTATGAATGTATTTGTAATTTCGCCTGAGTTCGTGGGATGTCGCTCTTGTTCGAAAACGATGATACAAATAGCTTTTCTACCGTTTCAGTCTTATAAGGGGCCCTTTTTTATTTTAATTTCATCGTTATCATCATCATCATCATCATCAATCGAATTTTCATTTCCGGTCGTTTCCTCATTCTCTTTAAAGCTGCGAATATGTTCAGCAAGAACTTCCTGTGGATATTCGACATTTGTTAAATAAAGACCAGGACTTGGTGCCGTTGGCACTTGGTAGTTCCATGATTTTTTCGACGGAATGGTCAACATTTCGTAAACATCTCTTTGATTTATCTTTCCGTTCCCAACTGCCAATAGAGAGACAGAGAGAGAGAGAGAGAGAGAGAGAGAGAGAGAGAGAGAGAGAGAGA